GACATAGGGGCACGGAAAGGGGTGCTAATCAATTCGTACTACTGCCTGTGGGTGAAGGATGTGACTCTGGGGTCCCTCCGTCCGGTGTTTCTCTTCGTGCCCTGGAGCTGTTTACCGCCCCGCATTGGCATCAGCTGTTGCCCCAGGTTGGTGTTCTTGTGCGGCCGTATCCACTATCCTTCACGACATTAGCTGCTGCCATAAGCTGAGACTCTTGTCTGCGTTGTTGGCGCCGAGTGACGGAGATGACGCTAGGGACCATCGGTCGGGCTTGTTCTTCGTGCGCTTGCAGCTGTTAACCGTACCCGCATCGGTCTCAGGTGTCCCCCAAGGTTGCTGTTCTTGTTCAGCTGTGTCCAGTATCCACCCCGATCGCAGTTATCGTCCTAGACTGTGACTCTTGCCTGCGCTAGCACGTTCGTCTGGTTTCGCCTTTTCAGACTGAATAGATGAACTAGCCGCGATTAGGCCCGTTCTATCGTCAGTTTCGGATGTTCGTGCGGCTCCGAGTGTGTCCGCTGCGGAGTTATTCATGTTAGGTCGTGTTCATGTATGCGACTTCGTCCGTTGAGCTGTGTTCCGAGGGCTTGCTAAGCTGTGGGGAGGGCGACCCAACGGTTACTGGAGACTATCCTCGTGTGCCAGGCTTCGATTGTTTCTCAGACGACGCGGTCATCTCCTAGACCCACAATTTCTGCATTTTGAAAGGCGAAGGTGTGTTTGGAGTTTGCACAATGTTCTGCCACCAAGAACAGTCGATCCATCCTGTTCACTGCCCTCGTGGGCTTGGCAACTCGGGTCTGCAACCGTTTCCCTATTTCTTCATTGTAGTCGGTCGCAGAGGGGTTATATTTAATCCGATAGATGAATATGGCGGTTTTGCCTCGGGACAGGGGGGCCTTAGGTGTCATTAGTAGTTGTCGTGTCCTTGATTCTGGTTGATAAGCGATGCCAATCCCTAGTGACTGATATAAACGGGAGACCACTTCCGAGACGCCGTCGATGTATGGCAGCGCTCGCCATAATCTTGGTTGTTCGGTCGCCAGATCCCGGTTTGCTTGGGCCTGCCTACCGCGTTCGATAAAGCTTCGAGGGTAACCGTTTGACCGAAAGACGCGCTGGAGGTATTGTTATTCTAGCTTTCGGTCGTGCAACGCGCTACAGTGTGTTTCTGCCCGTTTGTATAACGTCCGCACACAACTGCGTTTGCGGCATGCCGGGTGCTTACTATGACAGCTCAGGATTTGGTGCGTATTGCTGGCCTTCCTATACACCGTCGTTTTGAGACTCCCATCACGTTTTCGATGGACGATGACGTCTAGAAACGGCAGTTGGCTGTCTGTTTCGGCCTCCATCGTGAACTTGATGTCGGGAAAAATCGAACAAAAAAGACGAGATCGCTCTTTCTTCTCATTGATGCCCGGTAACTCGCATGCTTGCTTCTATCAGCAATATATATATATGTATATATGAGAAG